GATGGATTGTGGGGGGTGTGTGTAGGGGAGTTAGCAAGTTGGTGGTTTCCCAGGGATGGAAGGCTGCACAATAATCCCCGCCATCCAGAATTACGTTTTTTAAATGATTGATTTATTTTTAGTTTATGTGCATTGATGTGCATGTATGTCTGTGTGAGTGTGTCAGCTCTTGGAGTGACTGACAGTTGTGAGCTGCCATGTGGGTGCTGGGAACAGCCAGTTCTCTTAACCACTGAACCGTCTTTCCAGCTCCCTAGAATTATGTTTTTATGTTCATTATTTTTTACTTTTTTGTGGATAAATGTCTTGTTTGTGTGTATTTCTGTGTTCTGCATGTATGCCCACAGAGGTCAGAAGAGGGCATTGAATCGCCTGGAATTGGAGCTGCAGATGGTTCTGAGCTGCCACGTGGGTGTGGGGGATCAAATCCAGGTCCTCTAGAAGATGAATCAGTACTCTTAACTGCTGAGTCATTCTTCAGCCCTGTGTTGATTAGTGGTGTGTGTGTGTGTATGTATCCATGCACGTGCACGAATGTGCCAGGCACGCATGTACTGATCAGAGAACGACTTGGAGGAGTCGTCTCTCTTTGTCCCATGTGGATTTTGGGGATGAAGCTCATGTTGGTAGGTTTGGTGGCCTTTACTTGCTGAGCCGCTTCACCGGCCTTCTGCAGCCTGACTTTGAGCGTTTCTCTCACCCCCCAAAGGATCTCTCCCTTTTTAATACCAAGACTTGCTATTAGAACAATTATACCGTTTTGATGCTGGTGTCTGTGCTGCCTACAGTGTGTCCTCAGTCCTGACTGCCCTTGGCTTGCTTCTCCTCCAGGCAAACACGAGACGGCTGGGGCGAAGCTCCTGCAATCTTATCAGAGGCTGAGGTGAGTGCCTGGGACAACAGGTCCCACGTCAGCGGTCAGTGGAGCTCAGAGGACGTCCTGAAAGAGCTCGTGAATCCAGACCTCCAGAGGTCACTGCTTGGGAACACGACTTTTTAAAAAATTCAAAAGTTCTTGGAAAAGATTGAGAGGAGCTTCCAGATTTATGAGGAACCTTCTAGCAATCCTATTTTTACACAGTGTTTTCCCCCTCAGCTTCTCCCGCGATGCTGTAAAAAAATGAAATATTGTTTTTGATTGTGCATCTGAGATGTTCCAAAGCAAACAGTTGCATTTATTTCCCTTCCTTCGGCATCTTCCCTGGTGCCGGGCATCTCCCTAATATATATGTGGGGAAAAATACCTGTTGCCCGCGACCAGTCCTCTGAGAGATGGTGACATCTTTGCACAGAATTTTGAATCCCTGCAGCCTTGAACCGGCAGGAGTCGCGCTGCCTGCCCTGCTGAGATCAGTGAGCTGCACCAAGAATTCCCACAGGCGCTGACTTTTGTTGGCTCATGATAAAGTTTATCTGGTCTCAAAACTTAGAACCTCCCCTTCCTTCCCTATACAGTGTCTTGCCGTGTAACCTCGTGGTCTGGCCATGGCTATGTAGCCCAGGCTGGCCATGAAGTTCTGACAATCTTCTTACCTGAGCCTGCCCAGCACTGGGTTTACAGGCTGTGACCACATCAGCTTCTTACCTTATTTTTCCAGTCCCCATTGGTTCTTTTAGCTCATGCTTCCAGTTTTTCTCAAAGTATGTTTAATTTTTTTCCCTTCACATTTGACCCTTCTGCTGGTGTGGTTTGTATTAAGAATACAAGAGTCCAGATAGGATTCCACATATGAAACATGGGTCCAGGAGCAACTCAGTGGGGGAACCGGGGTCCCCTTGTGGCTTCAGAATGTGACGAGCTATGTCCTTCTGAGAAACCAGCACTTGCTCACAAAAGCAGGGCCAAGCCATGCTGCTGGGCCATTTTCTTTAAAAGGAAATTAGAACCAAACAAAGCTAAGCGTTAAGATGGTAAACTCACACATTTGAATACCTGCGAACTAGTGCCTTGCAGAGTTCTAAGGCATTATTGTTTCTCCTCGGCAGCAAAATCTCTGTGGTCCCTCCGACGCCACCCCCGCTCAGCGAGAGCCACTGCAGCGGCAGCCCTGGCAGGGTAACTTGTCTGTCTGCGGGTCCCTGGGTGGGAAGCAGGAAAGGAAGGCCAGGGGAGGATGCTGGAGAATTGGGCCAGCGGACCTGACTTACCTGGAGCTGGAGCTGAGAAGTGCTTTCTTTTTCATTCCGTTGCCAGGGACCATCTGCAGTCTCAGCTGGCTCCTTCTGCTCATACCCTGAGACATCTTGTCCTGGCTCTTGTTGCAGCTTCCACCCCCGACTCTGTAGTGTGTGCCTTTAAGTGTGTGCGGGTCTGACATGTGTACACAGTGGGGGTGCGTGGAAGTGGTGTGCCTGTGGGGATGAATCAGTGTTTGCTGGCTCTAGGGGGACCAGAACCAGTTCTGTCCGAAGAATTTAGCTGAGTTACCTTGGTTCTCCACCTGAGAGTGGAAATAACTCTGTCTCCCATGCGGGATGTGTCTGTGTGTGCCAGGGAATTGTATGGTTCTGATTACCTACATCGATCTGCGCATTAGAGGGAGCAATTGTGTCTTACATGGGATAATATGCACGACCATTTGAGAGATGAAAACATGTTTGTTGTTTTCCAAGTTCGCAGACACCTTGGGGTGAACCTCACAATTCTACTCTATTTTTTCCTATGATTGTGTTCTGAGGACATATTCTTGGGTGAATGGATGAACTCTGGAAGGATGGATAGGTGGGTAGGTGGATAGGTGGGCAGGTGGGTAGCTGGGTAGGTGGGCAGGTGGGTAGATGGGTAGGTGGGTAGGTGGGTAGGTGGGTAGGTGGATAGGTGGATAGATGAGTAGTTGGGTAGATGGATAGGTGGGTAGGTTGGCAGGTGGGCAGCTGGGTAGGTGGGTAGGTGGGTAGGTGGGCAAGTGGGCAGGTGGATAGGTGGGCAGGTGGGTAGATGGATAGGTGGGTAACTGGATAGGTGGGTAGCTGGATAAGTGGGTAGGTAGATAGGTAGGTAGGTAGGTAGATGGACAGATGGATAGGTGAGCTGGGTAGATAGTTGTTTGGGTTGATGGAAGTGGGTGGACAAAAGCATAGTCACTGAATCGGTAGATGAATAAGTGGTCTCTGGATGGATGCATGCATGCATGGTAGCATAGATGCATAGATGAATGCATGCATGGATTGTTATGTAGGTGAGTGGATGGGTACATAGAATGTTGAGGCGGGTGGATAGACAAGTGGAAACTGGATGGATGGGTGGATTGATGGACATTGGACACGTGGATATATGAATGGATGAATGGATGGATAGGTAGATAGATGGGTAGCCAGTGAGTGTGTGGGTACATACAGGTTGATGGATAAAGAATGGATGGATAGGTAGACAGATGGGTAGCCAGTGAGTGTGTGGGTACATACAGGTAGGTGGATAAAGAATGGATGGATAGGTAGATGGATGGGCAGACAATGAGTGGGTAGATGGATGGGTGAGACCTGAATAAGTTACTGTTCTCCCTTTTCTATGGTCCCTTTTGGGAGACAGCGCTCTGTCCCTAGGCTAGTCACCTTGCCCCTTATGGTGCCCTCAACCCCCATGTCACCCGCATCCTGTACCTTCTACATAGGATTTGTGTAGGGCTAGGAAAAGAAGGTCAAACAAGCAGTAATTAGCCTTGTGCCAATGAAATGTCAGTCATTATATCTAAGAGGTAGTCGTTGTCTTGTGAACTACCTGTTGATAACACTCCATCCTTTAATGAGGCTGCAAAACAGAGAAAGATGGCTAATTGCCAGGGATGCCTACTTCCTGGGATCTGTGCCCTGTCCCCTCCAAACATGCACACTTGTTCCCCCATCTGCACCCCTTTCCACCCCTTCCTGCCTGCAGTGTTTGTGGGCTGGCAGCCTGGAGATGGTGGGGCAAACACAGGTGGTGGCCAGACAGCTCATTGTCCCGTGTCTGTTTTAGTTACAGGAACTTGGTCACTTCAGAGGATTTAATAAGTCTGTGGAAAACTTGTTTCTGTCCGTCACCACCCAGATGAGAAGTAAGTGGTCCTCAGGATGTGTTCTTCTCCCCAGCCCTGTGCAGGTCAGCCCAGGCAGCCTCAGTGGGAAAGCCGTGGGTCAGTGGAGCAGCCTCTGGCTCCTTGAGGAGAGCAGGCGCCATTTCAGTCTGCTGGCCTCGCTCTGACTCCTGCTTGTCTTGCCCAAACCTGCCCAGCTCAGCAGCACAAAGGATTCCAGAGGAATGAAAACAAAACACAAACATACCAAGCAAAATCCCAAACCTTGACTTTTCTGACTTTGCAAGCCCAGTATCTTCCACTTGTCCATTCTTCCTGGTGAACTTGAATGCAGGCGGCAATAATCCCCCAGTTGCAGGGGCAGTTCACCCTGTCATGACTTGGCACCTTCTGTTCAGATATGCTTTATCCATTTCTGCTTCTCACACCTCCTAAGATATCCAAACCTGGGCAGTGATAGAGCAGGGTCCAAATGGACCTTGAATACACAACACACAATTCTCTTTCTCTATTGTTTTCTTTCTCTCTTCTCTTCTCTTCTCTTCTCTTCTCTTCTCTTCTCTTCTCTTCTCTTCTCTT